TGATTTGTATCACGTTACCGGCCATGTACATCTTGGTCAATCTAATGATTTGTATCACGTTACCGGCCATGTACATCTTGGTCAATCTAATGATTTGTATCACGTTACCGGCCATGTACATCTTGGTCAATCTAATGATTTGTATCACGTTACCGGCCATGTACATCTTGGTCAATCTAATGATTTGTATCACGTTACCGGCCATGTACATCTTGGTCAATCTAATGATTTGTATCACGTTACCGGCCATGTACATCTTGGTCAATCTAATGATTTGTATCACGTTACCGGCCATGTACATCTTGGTCAATCTAATGATTTGTATCACGTTACCGGCCATGTACATCTTGGTCAATCTAATGATTTGTATCACGTTACCGGCCATGTACATCTTGGTCAATCTAATGATTTGTATCACGTTACCGGCCATGTACATCTTGGTCAATCTAATGATTTGTATCACGTTACCGGCCATGTACATCTTGGTCAATCTAATGATTTGTATCACGTTACCGGCCATGTACATCTTGGTCAATCTAATGATTTGTATCACGTTACCGGCCATGTACATCTTGGTCAATCTAATGATTTGTATCACGTTACCGGCCATGTACATCTTGGTCAATCTAATGATTTGTATCACGTTACCGGCCATGTACATCTTGGTCAATCTAATGATTTGTATCACGTTACCGGCCATGTACATCTTGGTCAATCTAATGATTTGTATCACGTTACCGGCCATGTACATCTTGGTCAATCTAATGATTTGTATCACGTTACCGGCCATGTACATCTTGGTCAATCTAATGATTTGTATCACGTTACCGGCCATGTACATCTTGGTCAATCTAATGATTTGTATCACGTTACCGGCCATGTACATCTTGGTCAATCTAATGATTTGTATCACGTTACCGGCCATGTACATCTTGGTCAATCTAATGATTTGTATCACGTTACCGGCCATGTACATCTTGGTCAATCTAATGATTTGTATCACGTTACCGGCCATGTACATCTTGGTCAATCTAATGATTTGTATCACGTTACCGGCCATGTACATCTTGGTCAATCTAATGATTTGTATCACGTTACCGGCCATGTACATCTTGGTCAATCTAATGATTTGTATCACGTTACCGGCCATGTACATCTTGGTCAATCTAATGATTTGTATCACGTTACCGGCCATGTACATCTTGGTCAATCTAATGATTTGTATCACGTTACCGGCCATGTACATCTTGGTCAATCTAATGATTTGTATCACGTTACCGGCCATGTACATCTTGGTCAATCTAATGATTTGTATCACGTTACCGGCCATGTACATCTTGGTCAATCTAATGATTTGTATCACGTTACCGGCCATGTACATCTTGGTCAATCTAATGATTTGTATCACGTTACCGGCCATGTACATCTTGGTCAATCTAATGATTTGTATCACGTTACCGGCCATGTACATCTTGGTCAATCTAATGATTTGTATCACGTTACCGGCCATGTACATCTTGGTCAATCTAATGATTTGTATCACGTTACCGGCCATGTACATCTTGGTCAATCTAATGATTTGTATCACGTTACCGGCCATGTACATCTTGGTCAATCTAATGATTTGTATCACGTTACCGGCCATGTACATCTTGGTCAATCTAATGATTTGTATCACGTTACCGGCCATGTACATCTTGGTCAATCTAATGATTTGTATCACGTTACCGGCCATGTACATCTTGGTCAATCTAATGATTTGTATCACGTTACCGGCCATGTACATCTTGGTCAATCTAATGATTTGTATCACGTTACCGGCCATGTACATCTTGGTCAATCTAATGATTTGTATCACGTTACCGGCCATGTACATCTTGGTCAATCTAATGATTTGTATCACGTTACCGGCCATGTACATCTTGGTCAATCTAATGATTTGTATCACGTTACCGGCCATGTACATCTTGGTCAATCTAATGATTTGTATCACGTTACCGGCCATGTACATCTTGGTCAATCTAATGATTTGTATCACGTTACCGAACGATAAGCAAAGGAGCCACTAGGTAGAAATTCTATTCCTTTTATGATTTCATCATCTGTATATTTCTTCTTGAATGTGGACATATTTTTCACGACTTTTACACTCCATAATGATATATCTACCGCCAGTCACAAGTTGATAAGTTTTTTTTCTTTAAAAAAAGAAAGGAAGCTCCTATAACAAGAAAACGAATGGAATGGAATATGGTTATTTACAGAGTAGAAAAATGAAGTATTCTTTAATAGAAGAAGAGGATGTTAAAGATTGGTAAAACACATTTGAATTCCTTGAAATCCACAGATATCAACAGTATCACAATACGACTGATTATTATTTGATAAACAATATAGTGCTAAAAATGATAGTAAGAAGTTCTAATACAGGTTTAGCTGAAGAACAAGACGAACCAGCAATAAAATGATATTTCGGTTCTTGTGATTATTAGGAATCCAATTAAAATGTAGGGAGTCCGTATTTTTATCAGTAATAGGTAATCTGGGTGCTCATAGCACTGAAATATGATTAGGCAGTACTTCTTTTTAAGTGATAAAATGGATAATTTGTATGTAGGATTACTTTCGTTATCGAACATGCTTAGTTCTATTCGTACGTAAGCAATATAAAAATGTCTGCAGACAAGCTAGATCAAGTAATTAAATAGCTTATTTGAGACACAATAACCCACTTATCATGTAAATCTGAAAGTCTGGATTGGTCATCGGGATCAAGGCATACAGTCTTGTAGACAAAATGTACGTTATTTTATACAAGTGACAATATGTTTTATATTACAGGTAGAGCTCACCTTTTTTTAATTAGGAGCAAAATCTGTCAAGTTACGAGCTGGTAAAATGCGGTTTATATTGAAATAAAAATTACTTTCTTTTTTAAGAACAAAAATTTGTAATGTTTAGAACTGGTGAAAATGTGTTTTATATCGCAAATACAAATCACCTTTCATGTAAGGAACATATTGGAAAATTGTTTATGCAACTAGTAGAAATGTATACTAACAATACACAACATCTAGCAAATAGACTGATATTTGTGTTTGTGAACCTTCCGTTTAACTTTGGTTGTGGTCGGTTTTCGTTTTACTAAACGTGTTCTTGTTAGCCAGAATTTTGGTCTCTATCACCGTTGATGAGTTCTATCAGAACAGCTTTATGATGGGTGTAACTCTGAACGTCAGAGTTTTTTATTTTCCTACAGGGCAGTTTGTTTTTAAAGGGATTATACTTTTCCTTTAAAGTAACGACAGTTCCAACAGTTAGATTGACCTGTAAAACTTGCCTGTTATACTCGGGCACTGTACCTGTATATTTTTGTTTCTTTTTTAAAATGTATGTTTGTGATACTTTTTGTAAAATACACAATGTATGTATATTGTTATTGTGTGATTAAATCATCAGATCGCAAGTGTACTTTGTATAAATAGTTTGAATATTTGTAAAAATGATGCTTTTTAACCAGATATATAAAGTATAGAGATATGTCATTATACAACGTACACTATTTTATACAGTATATAATGTCATAACGTCATATATGGATGTCATACATCATATTTAATGTCATACCCTATGACGGAGGATATTTCTTAAAATTATCCTGATACATTCACACTTTCACGTATATATTTCTTTTTCATTATTTCAGCTTTGCTGTAGTTCGAACTTCTTTAACATTGATTGCATTTAGCCTTGTGTGATGAAATGTATGTTCAACATGCACTTTAGCAGACAAATCAATCCAGCCCCTTACTTTCAAGCTAAATACAATTTATGTCTTCCTAAATGAAAATGATAATAAATCCCCCCTTGTATCCAACCATTATCACTTGTAACACATTCTTAACATTAAATTCTATAATATACTTAATACCTTGATACATATTGTATATTTGATTTGATAATATTTTACTCCACAGAGATTGTAAAAAGGAGTAAATAGCACCATTTAGCAATTTTCGTATGAAAGAAGTATGTATGAAAGCAATGGCGGCATGGAGGCTACCGTCGATCACAGATATAGCCAGTTATATACATGCATATCTATTGCCTAATTTGTCTTTAGGTTCAAACCATTGCAGTTACTTCTTACTTAGACGTAAAACGATAAAAAATTGATTTTTCATGACATTTTCCAAAATATTTATAGATGACAAGATATAATATCAAGTACTGTTTAAAAAGAGACATCAAACAAATTGTGTTTTTCACACGTGTTTATATTTATTCTATTACCGAAAAAACTGAACTAAGAATCTAGCAAATTATCAATTTATAGACCAGTATTCGATTAGTACACAATGGATCTGATCACGCCACTTGTATACTACAATGTAACGTAATTTGCCTGAAGTCTTCAAACTACAGTGATAATGAAGTTTCATATTTTCAGATAATGTGTTCATATCACTCGCATGTCAATTGAAACTTAATATAATGTCGTTTTGTGAAGAAATAATGTTATTACTAATAGCTACGATATTTTGTCCGGGCAGAATTAAAGTTATCATGTGTCGACCACTTGTACACCAAAGTCCATTTTGTCAATAAATACAGATATATTTATGTGGCAACCAATTTTATGGTGATATGCATGTCAGAAACTGATTCTTATTTTGATATTAACTTTAGATGACCATGTCAAAATAATATACATATATTTTGAACAAATTGTATTTAAATAAGGTCTATTCAATTATCGATAAATTTGTGTTTATGTTCTAGAGCTTGAGTATTTTTAACGTTGCAGCGCAGTGTTATATTTAGTTATGACTTGGACCTGTCTGCTGTATAACGTGTGTATATAAATAGTACTGTTTACCTTTTATGGGTATGAATATCAAATACCTCCAATCAGAAACGTTGAATGAATTCGCCGCGGTTTAAACACAAGTTCCGTTTACCAAATATGGTAGCAGCCAGGTAAAGTCAGTTTGTAAACGGTACCCACAGATGTAGTAATCTGGTCAGCAAATGATCGGGTATGACAGCTGTAGTATAGCGTACAGTTGCCAGCCAATAATGATGTACTCCGCAGTAGAAACTAATTGGAGAAGGACTGATGATGGATGGAGGCTACTTCCCGGAGTGTTTGTTGGTACAGAGAGTCTGTCTAGAGCTCGGGGCACTTCATCACCGAGTAAAACATCTAAAACAGAAACCAATAACATCGTCCGCTTAGTGTAAGTACTGTTGTAAATGCAGATATACTTGATACCCAATTATCAGTCAGTTTAGAAGATTTCAAGTCACTGGTAGGAAATATGAATGTGTGGTCTCGAAAATTATAAAAAAAAAATAATTTAATCGATTAATTTTAAGAGCAGTTTGCGTTGATATTTTGTCTAAAAGACTTTACTTCATTCAAGCTTGAAGTAAGACGTAGAAACTATATATAGCTACCTTCTGATTCATTTGCTGCGATCACTGTGCGGCTGATAAAGTATAATGTCAGTTTAAAAAGCATTGTCAGCTTACTTAACATTGTTTCCATGATTCACCGAAAGCGTTTAAGTGATAAATCTACTGCTATTTGGTAAATATTGCTGCATTATTTTAAATGCACTTAACGAAATTAAATTTCTTATGTTGATAAAACTTTATATTCCCTGTTTTGTTACGCTCAAACAATCGCGTAGTCATTATATCTATAAATGTAAAATATTTGCATCTTTTTACAAAATTTTACGTAGAAATTAACTTTTAATACTAGTTTGTATCATCAGGTAGGTCACACGCACCGTGGACTAGAAAGTCGTTCTTAGTGTCAATTTGGTCACCAGAGCCCAACAAATAAGGACTTACCTTTGAGACACTAAAAACGATTTTTTTGTTAGATGCTTTGATGTTACTTTCAGTCATACTGTCTTTGTTTTCTCTATAGTCGGATAGCGGGGGCCCATCGACCTCATGACGGCACTAGCCAAGAGAGATGTGATAGTATAACACCATTAAGACTGCCTCACATGACTGGAATAAAAGGGTACGGAACAGACGTAAGTATTTGACAGATATAGTATTTTGTTTTGGTTAGTTTATAATATATTAAACACTGACATTGGTCAATTTTAGTAACAATTAGCGAATGTTCGGCTCATTAGAAATCATCGACAGAAATCAATTAGTTGTTCAATGTTAGTCTTGATTAATTCGATATTATTTGTAATACTTTTTTACATTTAAATAAAAATAAATTAACTAATAACCTTAAAGAACTTTTTAATGATATTGAGATAACGGTTAAATAACGATTATCTCATGTTTATATCAACAAATGTTTGATAAAACGCAGGTCGAGAATAGTACTGTAAGCGGTAGACCTGGATATAAGGTGTCTTTTAACAATCAAAGTGGCATGGTTACAATTGTTGTACATTCTAGAGAAGAATATCGTGTGGCCTGTCGACTTCCATTGAACAGTTAGAGATCGCTGATGTCGCCCTGGAGCTTAGTGGAACACGCTACTGCTGCGAGGTTGTTATTGAATGTTTCGAACTTTCAAATGTCACTTTTTATCTATCAATTTGTTAAAGCGATCTAAAAATGAGACTTGGACGATGTGTACTTATTCTTTTATTTCATATCTCCACTTGTACATTTATTCTGGAATCAAGTTCACACCTTTAGGATAAAAAGTGCAAATGCTATGGAATATGTGCTAAATTAACTTCGTAACTCGTTAAAAAGCAACAACAAATAAAATACCGACATGTTAAGGTAAGATGTTTTTTGACTCGTTTCAGATATTTAGAATTTTGATGAAGGAGAAAATCGGGAAAATTAGCGGAACAACCTTGCGACACATTTTCCGTATCCTGGAGGGAATGGTTTCAGAAGGTAATTTTTTGCTTTGGTAGATATGGCAGAAGTTCGAGAAAATATTTTTTCATATGACTTCTTCTCGCACGTGAAAGCCGTTTTACAAGGGAGGGTTAGTATAACGAAACTTTGGAAAGTTATAATAAGAAAAAAACGGCATGTGAATAGAATCTTAATTCAAACTCCAATTCAGTGTAACGTGGGCAAAATATGAACAAAATGAACAAAACAAGATTATATGGAGACTATTATACAAGTACAAGAAGAATATGACCATAGGTTATGGAATAGTCAGCGTCTTTTGCTTTATCGACACTACTCGCCATGTTAATATTTGGCAATCCAAGTAAGTAATGTGACGTTCCCAAATGAGGAGAAGGTAAACAACAAATGCGTACTAACGAGTATCGGACACCAACAAATTCATATAACACGAGACGATAGAATATTTCCCAGTAAGATGCTGTTTCAAGATATGCATTTGTATTGCTTACAGCGCTTCATATTGAGATGAACATCAAGTTGATAGCACGCTTATTAACGACGTCAGCCGACGCCCTGGAACGAGGTCCAGCGTCTTTGGTTGGCAGCAGCAGTTTGTGGAAGAGGCACCGGAACATTGTCAGCAATCTCACAATGCAAGTTGAGAACTTCCAGTATACACAGGTACGTGTTACAGTACACATACACAAGTATGTGTTCCAGTATACACAGGTAGACATTCCAGTATACACAGGTAGACATTCCAGTATACACAGGTACGTGTTACAGTACACATACACAAGTATGTGTTCCAGTATACACAGGTAGACATTCCAGTATACACAGGTACGTGTTACAGCACACACACTTGTATGTGTTCCAGTATACACAGGCAGATATTACACTATACACAGGTAGACATTCCAGTATACACAGGTACGTGTTACAGTACATACACACATGTATGTGTTCCAGTATACACAGGCAGATATTACACTATACACAGGTAGACATTCCAGTATACACAGGTATGTGTTCCAGTATACACACACAAGTATGTGTTCCAGTATACACAGGTAGACATTCCAGTATACACAGGTACGTGTTACAGTACACACACACATGTATGTGTTCCAGTATACACAGGTAGACATTCCAGTATACACAGGTAGACACTCCAGTATACACAGGTACGTGTTACAGTACACACACCCATGTATGTGTTCCAGTATACACAGGTAGACACTCCAGTATACACAGGTACATGTTACAGCATACACACACATGTATGTGTTCCAGTATACACAGGTAGACACTCCAGTATACACAGGTAGACATCCCAGTATACACAGGTACGTGTTACAGTACACACACACATGTATGTGTTCCAGTATACACAGGTAGACACTCCAGTATACACAGGTACGTGTTACAGTACACACACACATGTATGTGTTCCAGTATACACAGGTAGACACTCCAGTATACACAGGTACGTGTTACAGTACACACACACATGTATGTGTTCCAGTATACACAGGTAGACACTCCAGTATACACAGGTACGTGTTACAGTACACACACACATGTATGTGTTCCAGTATACACAGGTAGACATTCCAGTATACACAGGTACGTGTTACAGTACACACACACATGTATGTGTTCCAGTATACACAGGTAGACACTCCAGTATACACAGGTACGTGTTACAGTACACACACACATGTATGTGTTCCAGTATACACAGGTAGACACTCCAGTATACACAGGTACGTGTTACAGTACACACACACATGTATGTGTATGTCCAGTATACACAGGTACAGTATACACAGGTACGTGTTACAGTGTATACACAGTACACACACACATGTATGTGTATACACAGGTACGTGTTACAGTACACACACACATGTATGTGTTCCAGTATACACAGGTAGACATTCCAGTATACACAGGTAGACATTCCAGTATACACAGGTAGACACTCCAGTATACACAGGTACGTGTTACAGTACACACACACATGTATGTGTTCCAGTATACACAGGTAGACATTCCAGTATACACAGGTCGGAGTTCCAGCATACAGCGGCATCCCTGGAACATGTCATTGCAAAATTGAAGGAGACAACAGACCAGTTTGAACCTTTGATGTGATTGGTCAGTATTTTCGCCTCTGGATCCAATCAAATTACTTCGTTTGTACCTTTAGCTTTGTCATGATATATTCCAGGGTTGTGTTTTCTGAGTCTATGATCTTACTGTGTACTTATATGTTTTATTTATACGTGCTATCGATGTTCTTTTTGCGATTGTCTAACTCTTGATAATTTTCAGTTCATAGCCACAAAAAATTAACATATTCCGGTTGCTTTTTTTGTATTCGTTCCTTTACTGTCAAATCCCCAAGGTATCTATAATGTTCTATTTATACTAACAAAGAGAGAAGACGACCAACTGCCCCAACTTCTTGATATCCCAAAAGAGTGTCTCCACTACATCCTGAAATGCCTCTCTGACCCCCGGGACTTGATCAACGCGGGAGCTACCTGCACTTACCTGAATGACTTGGTCACGGACTCGTTTATATGGCAAAGCATGTGTCTGTTCCACTTTACCGATAAACAGCTGTATCCACACATCTGCGATGATGAGTACATGGGTATCGATTGGTTTAAAGCATTTCAGCTGTGTTACAAGTAAGTAATATACGGTTTTTGTTTCCAATTTTAAATGATAAAATATAAGCATAAATATATATTCCTTTTTGTTTCTGTAAACCATCTGGCTTATTTCTTTCACAATAAGGATGAAACTATTTTGAAGCTTTGATCGAAGCTGCAGAAACATTTGTTTGCGTCAGGTGTTGAAGACTTGAGTGGATAAAAGGAGATGAATCTGCCTCCCTATTGTAGTAGTATTTGATGAAATTATTGTTGATTTACAGGAAAAACAAACGTCTTCGAGAGTTTTATGGCAACGAGTTGTACTTCTGTAACCTATGTCGTGATATATTTTGGAAGGTAAGTGTCGATATTGTCGACTATTGTACACTACAAGGATGTCGGGAATATATCGTATATATAGTTCTAAAAAAACAATTCATTACGATTGACGAAGTAATATTTGTATTTCTTATGAAAGTTAAATATCGTCACAATCATTCATTCATTGGACTGTCAAATTAACAAATGTAGTATATATTGCTTTTGAAGCATTCCACCAATATAATTTGAGAACGTATTTCATCATGTTAAAGTGACACATCAAGTGAAATCATGACAACATAGTTAATAGCGTATATATTTACATATCTATATAAATATTAAAACAACATATTAACATGACAACTAAATAGAATTTTAGTTACCATGGTTATAGTTTTATATTTATATGTACGATACACAGATCGTTTTTCTTACTTCAATTTTCACACACACACACACATATATAAATTTGAATTAAGATTCTGTTGATATGTTGTATGTCTAGGGGACACACTCGTGAAAAACATGTCATAACCGGCGAAACTAATAGATATCATCTCTATATTGCCCAAAGTCATAATTGTGTTTTTACTTGTAGACATAATGCGGACGAAGATAATGTTGCTTTTGTCGAACGTTTGTCTGTTATTACTAATATTTCCCTCATAATCTCACTATACTGTGATTTATAGACAATTTCTACTTTTACCTTTAGCATCTAGGTCATCCCTGTCACAATCCGGAAAATATCCCGTCCTCGTCTCCTCTGTTGCCAAGGGAATTCATTGACATGTTGCGCCTTTGATTCAATCTGTGTGAAACTGGAATGAAGGGCAAGGATACTCACTTTGTACACAGCTCCCTCCTTTTCATCACTTTTCATTGAATAATGTGCACGTTGTATGCACACTAATGTTTTATTAGTGTTATTAACTTAATGGGCAATAATGACCGTTTTGAGACTTTTTAAATTTGGGCGTTTTCCTACTGTTTACGTATTTTTTTGTTTTTGCAATTAAAATTTCAATCTCGCTTTAATATGATGTTGAAGTTTTATATGCACATGTACTGACACCCAGTTTAGAGCCGACGGATTTAGGATGGAAGCACACAGAACCTACGTTAACCCTGTCAAAGTTGATACAAAGCTCAATGCTGTTGGCAATAAAAATGATATCCACCAGATAACGTATTTGGCAGATAACGTTCAGGTAAACATCTGAAGTTTTAAGAACCTTATACAGTTTTAGTAAGTATGTCAATGAAATACCAATATAAATCATAAAGGCTGCTGGATGCACATCCTTCTTACAAGCTGTCGTCCTATCTACATTTAGATGAAATCTTGAAGTGTTCATCATGACATCTTTGATGTCACATTTTCCGGCAAACTATTCCAGCTATCCATAAATAGACCGCTGTTCGTGGTTGTATCAAACCTAGACCTAGATATTACCAGTTTTCTTGGAGTGCTCTCTTGTTATAGTGATTGGGAGGGTACAGGAAACTCGCTTTCACCCCGTAAGGAGACAAATCACAAACACAGCTGTGTTATTCCAGTCATTTTAACAAGATTCATTCAAGAAATATCTCGATATCAAGCTATTTACAACTAAGGGAATAACTCCTGTATTTGGAGTTAGATTGTCTCCCTTAGACCATACAATATGTAATCTTTAAACATCCATTTAAATGCATGTCATTACAAGCACAGATTGTTCTACAAAATGTCCATGTTATTGATTATTTTGCAAACATCAGCCTGTTTCTGAATGATAAGAATATTAATAGGTAAGGTAACTCTACCGGATGAAGTTCATTCACAATGAATTATGACACTTGGAATATTAGCATGTTTCCGCACAACAGAGTCATCCATGCATGGAAAACATATGGTCACCTGATGGCTGACTTATTGGATAAATTATACAAAGAAGTACGTTAGATATAAAACTGATGGTAAACTACTACGTGGCATCCTTGTACATGTTCTGGAGCTTGTCGTCGTCCATCTCCTTCCTATGGGTGTGTTCATCATGTGTCTTACCATAGATACCGTCGGATGCATCTGATTTAGCCGCGTTTATATTGTTCTTTCCAAGTTGGTCAACTCCGATGACCCAGGGTGCCACATTAAATTCCAAACGGGAAAGACGACCATCACCTGAAAAATGGAAGTAGCATATACCTTACATCTCCTGTTGACACGCATTCACACATGTAATTATATGGAAAATGAACTAACAATATTATTGTTAATCCATATTTGTAAAAACTTCCGATGACATTGATTAAACAGTAACATGTCAATGATAGATATAGAATCAAAAGTCAAAATGTAAACTTTTGTACCCGATGAATTCCCAGTATTGAAAAGGTTTTGACATTAGTTCATACAAAAATCCCAATAGCATGCCGACAGTTCTTCACCCAATTACCAGCTCCTCTAATATATTATAACCCATGAAAGTGGACGTATTTCAACTATATATTTAAATTGTACGACGCAGTATACTAACTTTTGCATAAATTTGTGCATTATTGATTTAGCTGTGCACTTGACAATTACGTTTTCGTTTGAGCACATCATAATTACATATTCAACACTTTCCTCATCTCCACTTTCGATAAACACGTAAAGTTTACAGTAAACGCCACAAAGGAATCCATTGAGTCAAATAAGTTAAGAACCGTCTTCTTATACCACATTGTGCCTTGTGTGTACATTGGATGGAAATGTCTGTTACATACATGTTGTACTGATGGATCATTTGACCTAAATATAATGATAAATGAATCGAAATCAATTATAATCAATGTGTATGTTTGACTAGCTTCAAATGTTGTTTGCTTCATCATGTAATATCGCTTGATATTTCACGATCATCACATATGGAGTTATTATGGTTTCAAATCCCCGAGCATACCATGGCCGACTGATGTTACCGTCACGGACATACAGGTTCAAGCTGTTAGAAGGGGTTTAAGTCTGATAACAGAAAAGCGAATACGAGATATATGGTTTACGCAGAATAATACGTATTGAGTGCATGTTGTTATGTGCATGTCATAGCTGTCTAGACCAACATTTCAAGGTAAGTGAATGTATATGTGTATACAAATTGTACAAAATATTTATGTTTTGAAAATCTAGCTCTGTCACTTATAATATAGCTAATATGTTGAATGTAAGATATTTCTGTAACTAGAATCTTTTCAGTCAATGCTTCTACAACGTTTTTGTTTGAAAATGTCTGCTAAATCTTCCACAAACCTGTATATATTCATTGTTCATACTATGCTACTACACGATTCATTTCTCAGAACACAGCACGGGATCAATGTTGAAATACAGGTTCAAACCATAAACCACGAAGTATGTCGTGAAGTTCTGTATTTCTTGTACTATATATATTGTACCATCTGTATAACATTTGTAAATGTGTTGAGACATAAATAAAGTGAACTGAATTATACGAAATTCTCTTTACATTTAACTATTAGGGCGGTAGTACAACTCTTCATTTACTGTGTACCAAGGCCAGAAACCTTTTGCATGCATGTCAAATGTATCTTACGGTGAAAATATTTAGAAAAATACACGTAAGAGAACCGGATCTTTCAACGCACACAAAACTAGACACAGTAAAGCAAAAAAATGACTTAAACTACACCATACAGCAGTTACGTCTTTGTAGGAACCGTCAGTGATGCTTTACAGGGTCTTAATGTTGAAACCTTGTACGATCAAAATTAATGGAAAGAAATATCAAATTCTATCTAGTGGTGAAGTAACCCCGATATTTCATTAAGGAAATGAAATTAATTATCTATGACCGTTTCACAGCTATATTTAGTTTGGAAAAGACCGAGATGGAGAAATATGTTGACCTGTACTCGTACTGCAGTACATTCAACTTAGTACAAAATGTAGATATTATAACAATTAAGTATTTTTGAATTTCGCATCGTAGCTACTGCTAACATTCATACAATAAAAAAATGAATGTTTATGGTACTAACCGTCTATGTCAGAGGCATGTAAAGCCAAAGCAGCGTTTTCCCGGGCTTGTGTAGCCATCATGAGCTCTTCCAAATCGATGTACCCGTCACCATTCATGTCGTATTGACTGAAATTTGTGGGAACGGGAAGGGGTTCAAACTCATCAGCCACGTACACCCCTTCATCTAGGTCAATGGCACTAGTGTCATGTAATAAGCTATCAGAAATTGTCTGCGAAGGCAAATCATGGTCCAAATATCGATCAGGTTTCTTTGGTGTTTTGTCAAAATCGCCATGTTTAGAGTCCTTCTGTCCGCCTACATAAGGGTCCAGATAAAGACCTTCTTCTAGCTTGTCGTCAGAGAATTCGTCCTTCACCTCGAATTGGTCAAGATTTAGATATCGAGTTAACGATGGATCGTTGTCCACAGAAAATTGATTCGGGTACTTATCTGGTTTTGTGGCAGTTTTCCGATATTCCTCTTCTTGTGCACCCAGTTCCACGAGGAGCGGAGGTGGTGCTGTGACATGGTGTACCAACAGTCCAAGCATTAGAAACCTGACAGCACGTCGCATATTGGTGGTCATTTTATCTCACTACTGGAGTTTCTGTGATAGGACATCAACATAAGCTCTGTACTGAACGCACCACACTAGTCTCTCCCTTAGTAAATATACAACATTATGTAACATTCCGATACACTACAAAATAATCCAGCGATCGTGTGTGGATGTGTGACAGCGTGTACAGCGGCCTGTTGCTTGTTTTTCTGTTTATATGTGTAACTAACCAGACACACATCACTTTCATCTCACGTCCATGATAAATTGAGCAGGTGCCAATATATTGTTATTTCTCTTCCCTGAACACAATGTCGACTACACGTAGGAAGTTACTTGATGCATTTGTAATATGGATATGGATGCCGTGGACATTGTTTAAAGGATTCGACAGTCCTAGATGTTACCTGATTGTAAACTTTAGATAAAATGGTAACTTTTTAAAACACGTATGCCCGATAAAGAACGTAATACCACAAGTAGTGGTGTTTAATGGTCTAAAAAGTGGTTAAACTTATTTGTAACCCATACTTCGTGTACATTTACAAACACCTTTTTATATATAAAACCTTTTCACACGTATTATGGAGACAGGATACAGAAAACCTTACCTACATACTTAAATGCAAGTCTCCTGAATTTATGTAAGCTTTATACTTATTCATAGAGCAGTTTTAAAACTGGGAAGTATAGGTTTGATGAAAACACGATCTAAATATACCCTTGTAGTTATACATATCTAATGGTTTTTTATTTGAATCTGTTGTTTGTTTTGCCCTCAAATTACCCTTTAACTATAAAGAGCAGTGCAAAACATTAAAAACAAAACAATAACAATATCAAAATCGGAAAAAAAGTGTAAGAATTTAAGATATTATCTTAACTACAGCCGGTCAATAATAGTACCATATATCACACCTTACCATCGATATCATTGTATTAAATACCTTAATTATCAGACAAAACCAACATCTTACAATATATAATTAGAATAGATACCTTACCACGAACATTGTGTAACTGGTATTACATGAACACCTTACCACTAACATTGTGTTACTGGTATTACATGTACACCTTACCACGAACATTGTGTTACTGGTACTATATGTACACCTTACCACGAACATTGTGTTACTGGTATTACATGTACACCTTACCACGAACATTGTGTTACTGGTACTATATGTACACCTTACCACGAACATTGTGTTACTGGTATTACATGTACACCTTACCACGAACATTGTGTTACTGGTACTATATGTACACATTACCACTAACATTGTGTTACTGGTATTACATGTACACATTACCACGAACATTGTGTTACTGGTATTACATGTACACATTACCACGAACATTGTGTTACTGGTATTACATGTACACATTACCACGAACATTGTGTTACTGGTATTACATGTACACCTTACCACGAACATTGTGTTACTGGTATTACATGTACACATTACCACGAACATTGTGTTACTGGTATTACATGTACACATTACCACGAACATTGTGTTACTGGTATTACATGTACACATTACCACGAACATAATTTAACTGGTACTATATGTACACCTTACCACGAACATTTTGTTACTGGTATTACATTTACACATTACCACGAACATTGTGTTACTGGTACTATATGTACACCTTACCACCAACATTATGTTACTGGTATTACATTTACATATTACCACGAACATTGTGTTACTGGTATTACATGTACACATTACCACGAACATTGTGTAACTGGTATTACATGAACACCTTACCACGAACATTGTGAAACTGGTATTACATGTACACATTACCACGGATATTATGTTACTGGTACTATATGTACACCTTACCACGAACATTTTGTAACTGGTACTATATGTACACCTTACCACTAATATTGTGTTACTGGTATTACATGTACACATTACCACTAACATTGTGTTACTGGTACTATATGTACACCTTACCACGAACATTTTGAAACTGGTATTACATAAACACCTTACCACTAATATTTTGTAACTGGTATTACATGAACACCTTAACACTAACATTGTGTTACTGGTATTACACGTACACATTACCACGAACATTGTGTTACTGGTACTATATGTACACCTTACCACGAACATTGTGAAACTGGTATTACATGAACACCTTACCACTAATATTGTGTAACTGGTATTACATGAACACCTTACCACTAACATTGTGTAACTGGTATTACATGAACACCTTACCACTAATATTGTGTTACTGGTATTACATGTACACATTACCACGAACATTGTGTAACTGGTATTACATTTACACCTTACCACTAACATTGTGTTACTGGTATTACATTTACACATTACCACGGACATTATGTTACTGTTATTACATGTACACATTACCACTAACATTGTGTTAATAGTATTACATGAACACCTTACCACGAACATTGTGTTACTGGTATTACATATACACATTACCACGAACATAATTTAACTGGTATTGCATGTACACATTACCACGGACATTGTGTTAATGGTATTACATATACACATTACCACGAACATAATTTAACTGGTATTACATATACACATTACCACGGACATTGTGTTAATAGTATTACATGAACACCTTACCACTAATATTGTGTTACTGGTATTACATATACACATTACCACGAACATAATTTAACTGGTATTGCATGTACACATTACCACGGACATTGTGTTAATGGTATTACATATACACATTACCACGAACATAATTTAACTGGTATTACATATACACATTACCACGGACATTGTGTTAATAGTATTACATGAACACCTTACCACGAACATTGTGTTACTGGTATTACATATACACATTACCACGAACATAATTTAACTGGTATTGCATGTACACATTACCACGGACATTGTGTTAATGGTATTACATATACACATTACCACGAACATAATTTAACTGGTATTACATATACACATTACCACGGACATTGTGTTAATAGTATTACATGAACACCTTACCACTAACATTGTGTTACTGGTATTACATGTACACATTACCACTAACATTGTGTTACTGGTATTACATGAACACCTTACCACTATCATTGTGTAACTGGTATTTGTTTCTCATTGATTTGTTCGCGATCTGGTAAATACATGTTTATTATACCGCGTAGGTGCTGTCAGACATATGTTTCAACATTATATATAGGATTGAGTTACCTTTCTATAAAGTAATCTGAAAACTGGCTATCTAGGTGAATATATCAAGTTTCAAGTTATCACCAATCGAATAAATTACATGAACTGAAAAGACTACACGTATGAAGATAATGCCGGAACGATGTGTGAATATGTTACATGAATACCGATAAACACGTTGCCACTTACCTGTGTAATTAACAGGTACATGAATGTCATCTCAGCCACTGTGGACGAAATGAAATGATAGCGACGTTCATGGAGTACCTAACAGGACGAAATAACGAAGAATACACAAACTGAGATGATAAAAGAAATAAGCTTGACAATTGTGGTAGTGGTTGGAATATCTGCAGGACTTTTTTTTAAACTTAAATGAACTGGCTTGGCGGCATCATAGTAATTATGGATATTTAAAACCGCTTCCCACATAATCTGACGGAAATTCTGTGTGTGTGTAGGGGGATGTGTATGTGGGGGGAGGGGGTTGGTGTGTGTATGTGTGTGAGGGTGTGTGTGTGACGGTGTGTGTGAGGGTGTAAGGGTGTGTGTGTGCATGTGTTTGGGGTTGGGGGTGTTTGTGGATGGGGTTGTTCGTGAGGGTGTGTGTGCACAGGCACTCGAGGCCAGGATATTATTTTTTAAACGTTGATTTTTGTTTTAGCACTCATGACTGACGTTATTTAAACGAAATATCAGCAGAATTCAAGTTTATGTGCCGGTTGACAAATCCGAGGTCCACGGTCATTAAAAATACACAAGGCAAGCAACTCCAGATTTTAAAAAATCGACCCCTCGCTTGGAAACTGGCTCAAAAAAAGTAGTTATGATAAGTTCCTTGTAAAACAATATGTATCCGTAGGTAGTGTGTATATTTACCTTTTATTTGGTGCATAACATTACAGGCAACGAGAAATTCACAATACGTACATGAGATTAACATCTCAATAATCGGAGATTTTATCGTCCATGTAATTATCTTTGACGGAAGTAACATGCCATTTCAAGGGCGGTCACTCCGACTTTTTGGGAGAGGAGTTCCGGATAGCACTATGGTAGCAGTAAACAGTTAATTTGCATTTTTCCTGAAATTATTTGTCATGTTTGAGATATACAGGTATAGCAGATTGGTTATGAAAAATACATCATTACATGTATATATATTTATAAACTGTATAACAATTACATTAACAGTAGAGAGATGAAATTTGTGTAAAAAAAAAAATTCCTCTGATTTCTGACATTTGATTGTCATGGTTACCTACTGAAAAAATGCTAAAAATGCAAAAATACTGCTAATTCCAATCCAACACTACAACTTTCTAGGAGAAATTTAATTCTAATCACCTATCTTACAATCAACAACACTGTCGTGGTAACAAAGTACTTACATTTCAGCAAATTCCAACTCGGAAATTCTTCATAACATGACCACATGTAAACACTATGAAAATTTCACTTCCTGTAAAGCTAGTTTTTGGTGCGTAGACACAGATTCGAGACTGCCCAAACAGTAATCTCCAACACAAAGCTAAAATATTATCCTGAAAAAAATGAAACCCCACATTGTCCACTTTAACATGACAGGACCAATTTTAGCAAGGATTTTTTTTTTCATTTTTAATTAAAACCTTTATAATGGGGTAATCTAATGAGCAAAAAAATCACCCATGGCCACACCGAGAAACTGTGTACTGCTACCTATACCAGTGAACAGGTAAGAAAGGTTCCGATGTCATTACGCGCGTAACTTCAAAATAGATATTTTTATTTCTACAAATACATTTGCGGGGATGGAAAAATAATGGCTGGGCATTTAAAAAAAAAATAGAAAAAAAATCATTTAATTTCCAATTTCTAAGTTAATATATTTCCCCCACGATATTTTTCATAAATTGCGCCCTT